AGTACCCCCGTTACATTTTCCATCAATTGATCCGTTAAGAGCTGACATAGTTGCCACATTTGTGCCACTTGGCTACCAAATTTATGCCAGGTGGCAAATTTTTTTTATTATATACATTTAAGAATAAATAATTAAAGAAAAATTATTTAAAAAATCAAAAATATATATATAATCCCCAAAACCCATCTTCCCCCCTCCGACTCACCTCCCTCTCTTGCACCCCACCTCCCTCCTTCCACAGCCGACGCCCAGAAGAACTCACACCCATAAAAATAGCGCCCTCCTCCTTAGATCCCACAGGGCCGCCGACTGCCTCACCTCTATTGGCGCCTCATCGCCTTTGGCAGGATGGACACCGTACTCTCACCGAGATGTGAGTCATCTTCTTTGATCCTCAAGACCTGGTTGTGCAACACGCACCTCTCCTTCGTCGTCTTCCTCCACCATCGCCTCACCGACCTCAACGATTCCATCTCCTCCAACGACCCTGCGTTGTCCTCCTCCCACTCGTCTGTACACGCCTTCTTCTCCTTTGACGAGACGAATAACATACTCCGCCGGACCTCTTCCATCATCTCCCGAATCTCGTTCTGGCATGGGATCTGAGGTTTTATAACCTTTATTGCCGTTGCTTTTTGTGGTTGTCTGGGTCGATTTAGGGAGGAATTTTTTAAAATGGAGCTCAAATCGAAGATAGAGGAGGAGAGGACGGCGGTGGGGGAGTGGTTCTAGTTTTGGGTGATGAGGTAGGAGACGGGTTGGTTTTGGGTGGGGGGGATGGGGTGTTTGGATTGCAGGGAAGGGGAAGGGCACGGGGAATAAGATATGGTTTTTTTTTCTTTTGGTTGAGAAGATTCAGGTTTTTTTTTTAAATATTATTTTTTTTGCCACTTGGCACATAGGTGGCAGCCATGTGGTACAAATGTGGCTGCCACATCAGCTCTTAATGGATCAATGGATGGAAAATGTAACAGAGGTACTATATTGAAATAAAATAGTAGGTTATGTATGAAAGTGAAATGTTTTTAAAATGTTGTATGGAATTGTAATAGACCTCAAACCTAAGGGGGTATTATGTAATTAACCCATAAAGATATATACTCGACTAGCTAATCACCGTCCAATTATATAATCATGAGATATATATTTTCCTTTTACAGTTATGCTCCGTTTGTTACACAATACGTACTAAGAAACTCTCTTAACAAGGATACTGTTGGAAATTTTAAGTAGAAATTTCATTGTCCCACATTGGTCACTATCAAAAGGTTACCTTACTTTATAAGGTTTTGTTCTTTTATAGAAAGTGATTCAAGTGATGGAACATGAAGAAGAAAATTAGGCTCAACCTTGAGATTGAGCTTTGAGGTGTACTAATTAATTGATAATTAATATATAATATAATTAATATATCAACGGACTCATAAACTTATTATTTATAAATCCATTTGTATGTCATTTAGAACACATAAAAATAAAATTATATATATCCATCTGCATGACATTTAAAACACAGAAAAATAAAATAATTCTACAATCTCAAACATTCTTACTATGAGAACCACAAAGGAATTCGTCAAAAGTTAAGTTTTCCGATGCTGGAATTCTAACTTAGATCGTTGAATCTTGGTGAAGCTTATTATATAGACATCTATCTGCATGGTATTTAGAACACAGAAAAATAAAATTCTTCTACAATCCCAAACATTCTTACTAAGAGAACCACAAAGAAATTCGCCAAAAATCAAGTTTTCCGATGTTGGAATTCTAACTTAGATTGTTGAATCTTGGTGAAACAGCAGACATCCGTAGAACTACAAGTATTGAGTAGGGACGAAAATTTTGTTTCAAAGACATTGCATTACGCAAGCCTCGATCTTCAGTTTATCTGCTAATATTATTTCGATTTTTTCATATTCTCTTAAATTATTTATTAGTATTTATTATTTATTAACACATATAAATTTATTATTGATTATTAATATTTATCCAACAGACACCTGAGGCATGATTCTTACTTTAGGTGAGACTCGATAAGTGGGCCTGCCCCCTTTTTATGAGGAAAGACTTTTAGTCCCGCCTTTAAGTTAAGCTAGCACTACACTTTCACGTGTAGAAATGTTGCATGACCTAAAAGCAGCCAGAGACCCCTCACAACTCTGTGGGCGGGGCTAGTACACTAGTTTAAAGTCGAGGTATAAATTCCTAAGATATTTCAGTATACTACGAATTCCCACTAGTTTAAACTTTAAAGTCAAGGCATATATTTTTGTGATAATTCGATACAGAACCAATTCCTATGAAAATTATTATGTTTAATCTTAAAACTTACTTATCAATTTAAGTTCATTGACTTTGATCCATATAATCCTTTTCTTTTTTTTTTCTTTTTTTTGTGGTGATGAGTATGTGGCAACTTTAAAGCTATGCTTTGTGAATTTATTTTTTCGAACACACTATATACCCCTGGGCTATTTTAGAAATTATATCATTTTAATTATCCAGATTTTTAGTAATTTGACTGCTCCTATTAGTGTACTTTGGACATGGATTAGAGGTAATCGTATGTGTAATTAAGTTATGATTTTCTTTGGTTAGCATGATATCTCTCCTTATTTGTCTAATTTCTGTAGTATTCTTGTGATGGAAGGGGGAAATTGTAAAGTTTGTTCATGGAGTCCGTAGAGAATATCGGAAAAAAGGCACAAATCCCAAGTCATACAACAAACAAAAATTTTAGGGTGCTTTGGAGTATAGAACTCCGAATGTTTTAACAGTTAGATTTTTTTTTTTTTTTTTTTTTTTAAACAAAAATTAAAACATTCAAGATATCTCATATTTCGGAATATTGTAAAAAATCCCACAACAACTAGGAGAGGTCACATAATACGGACCAAACCAAGCTAACGACAAAAACAGAACGTGAAAAAAGGAGCAAAAAATAGAGAGACAGCAGCTCCCAAGGACAAAGGCAAGAGGGAAAAGCTGGGAAGAGCAACATGGTCAAGCTTTAAACCTCCCACCTAGCTAAGCCCTGAAAAACTCAATGGAGGGGAGGACATGGCAGGCCATCAGAAACCCTTTCATCTTCAATAATGGCATGGTATGTGTTGCAATGACGTTACACCCCTTATAACATCACGAAACCAGACCATGATGCAGGACTAAATTAAAGTAAGTAGTGGCTATTGTAGAAAGGTTAAATTTCTAGAGATGTTAGTCATGTTTTGCTTATTCAGTTTAAATTTCTATATAAATAACTCATGTACATGTGGAATACGATCAAGAGACAAATATTTTTTACATTAATATTTCTTTTGAACTTTTAAATTTTATAACATCCAAAGGTTTTGATTAAGATTAATGTGGAGGTTTTTAGTCTTAAATAACATGAATGATGACATGGATTATAACTAATATAATATATAAACAAATAAAGATTAAAACTGGGAATTTCGCTCAAACAACAAAAACCCTAGAAGCCTATTTGACTGATCTTGTGGATTCGCAGCCAAAGTCTAGTACATCTATGGAGATTGGGGGATGGAGATTCACTTAAATTCCAACTATGTGATTAATGATACAATGTTGAGTAGTTTATTGTTTGCTATTTAATATATTGTTGCAAACAAATTAAAATTGGGAGGAAAGCAAAAGAAAAAAACAAGGAGGGAGGAAGCCCTCCATTAATGCTTTGGTGGTAAGTCATCACAATACGCATGTAACATGGATTTTTTGCAACAAAAACTAGAAAACAAATAATCATATATGCATGTAAAATGTTTATCACATGGATTTTTTTACAACAAAATTCTACAAAATAAATAACCATATGATATATGATGGTTAATTGGATATATTTCACGAGGAAAATTATAATTGAATGAGGAAGGCAACCCATATTTTCTTTGGAGATAGAATAAATTTTCGGAATGGGATATATTCTTGTTTGGATTTGCTTTTAGCTTTTTTTTTTCTTGGCATACAAATGGTATTATATAGCCATGTTAGGAAATATTCACTGCAATAAAGATAAAGATGAATTTCGTCAATGGCATATTTCAGACCTTTTATTTTTTGCTGTTGGAGAGTTATTGACCTAAATGGCAGAGGAGGAAGATGAAGGCTGGACCTAGTTTAACGTCATGAAACTCCTTTATCAAATATTTTACCTGAAGCAATGCCGTCATTTAGTAGCATCTTAACCTTAACTAGAAGCATTAGATGTAAATAAATATCCAAGAGCTTATAAAAAGTGTAAAAATATTTGTCCATTGATCCTATCCCGGTATATATACGTTAAATTCTAGAGATGTTGTACATCTTTGTGTAATTAATAGAGCAACGATATCTCTAATACTTCTTTATTTCAACTAATGTTAGAATTACTCTCATTTTCTTTTTCAATAAGAAAAGATAATTTACAAATATTGTCTCATTTTCTTGCAGTGATAGTTATTTCATTGTTTTCTAATGTGGAGCTTGAATTTCAATCAAGATACAATATTGACCAAAAAACTTTTTTTTTATCTGCACACACTTCAATTTCAATACGCCTCTAATTATTAGGTGCTTTTTGAATTGAAACCTCAACTTTTCCCGGCGCAACATTTTATCATTCACATGGCAGATTATATTGCATCCAGGGACCACATTCTGGATTCCAGCGTATCTGCATGGTTGTAAAGGGGTAAAAGGGCTTAGATATTTATTTATCAAAGTTAAATTAGAACTTTAAAATCCATGTTCGACTTATCTACCTAACGCACGCCTTTCATTTTTATATCCAATAAAGCTTGTCAGTTTGGTGCCAATCCACTTTCTGTCACTCCATAAATAGGCCTACTAATTGGCTCACATATGCATTGATGCACATAAGTTAGAAAAATCGATTACCACCTAAGAAGATGCATTCTTCTTGTAGCGCTCAATTTTGTTACAAATATATGTTTGTAATATTACTAATCTTGTGTGCAAGTGCAGGATCTGTTGATGCTCAGTTGACTCCTACGTTTTATGATGAATCATGCCCGAATGCCACCAGCATTGTGCGTGGAGTCATTCAAGAGGCTCTGCAGACCGATCCCCGGATTGCTGCCAGCCTCATTCGGCTTCACTTCCACGATTGCTTTGTCAACGTATAATTCACTTCTTTGCTTCTGATCCCTTTGTTTGTTACAAATCTTTCTTTGGCCGGTGTTGTTATCACGAATTCCAGTCCAGCATTTTGGTTTTAAGAATGGCCTCGGTAGTCAGTGCACCAGTACGATTATGGTATTATGCTTATTTAGTGTATAGTGCAAGGAGATTTAAGTGCTTTGACTATTTAAGATAGCTTTTTAAGAAAGTTAAGGTTTCATCATAAAATTAATTGGCAATATGGGAAATAAACCAACTTATGTATAAGTCCATACAAGTTCCCTCTTTCCATCAATGTAGGACTCATTCTCAACGGTTTTGACGGGCGTAGTTGTAAAGGACCCTTTTAATTAAAATGTAGCAATAGAACTTGTACTTGGAGCACAAAAAGATCTGCCCATGTTTTCTTTTCCTTTTACCATATGGAATTAATATTAATTTCCCTGAAAATATATCATAGTATCAGATGCAATGCTTTAGTTCTTCAAAATTTAAGCTGAACAACATATTCAACTTTGAAATACCAACCAAGATTACTTTGTATATGTGGCAGCTTCTATGTTACAGGACTTCGGAACAATGCCTAAGCACAAAAGTGCTTTTATTAACAGCTGCTTCTTTGTTTATAGAACTTCAGAAGAAGTAAAATTCCAAACGTGCAATTTTGAGATGAAAAGAACTTGTTGATTCTATTTCAGGGTTGCGATGGATCAATTCTGTTGGACAATAGTACCAGTTCTACCAGTACCATAGACAGCGAAAAAACAGCATTTGCAAATAACAACTCAGCCAGAGGATTTGATGTTGTGGACAGTATGAAGACTGCATTGGAGAATGCTTGTCCCGCCATCGTTTCCTGTGCTGATATTCTCACCATTGCTGCCGAAGAATCTGTTGCTTTGGTATATATTTCAAGCTTCAACAACAATTTAAAACATTTTGTTTCGTGAGATATTGTAATTGAGTAATTAATCTATGGTTACAGTCTGGAGGTCCTTCATGGACAGTGCTATTAGGAAGAAGGGATAGCTTAACAGCGAATCGCACGGCTGCCAACGCAGCCATTCCAGCTCCTACTTTAACACTTGATGGACTCAAGGCCAACTTCTTAGCTGTAGGCCTCAACACCACTGATCTGGTTGCACTATCTGGTAAGCAAGCAGATCGCAGGGCTACAAAAAATTTTAAAAAAAATATCCTCACTATGTTGCTTTATTTTTATATTAACAAAATTTGACATGTAAAATTGACAGGTGCTCACACATTTGGGCGTGCTAGATGTCAATCTTTCACCAATCGATTGTATAACTTCAGCGGCACAGGCAGTCCTGATCCAACCTTGAACTCAACCTACTTAGAAACACTGAGTGAGATATGCCCGCAGAATGGGAATAGCAGTGTGCTAACCAATTTTGATCCTGTAACTCCCGACACTTTTGATGCAAATTATTTCTCAAATCTTCAAGTTCAGAAAGGCTTGCTCCAAAGCGATCAAGAGCTGTTTTCAACTAGCGGGGCTGATACCATCGACGTTGTCAACAACTTCAGCACTAATCAGAGCGCATTCTTTGAGAGTTTCGTGGAATCCATGATTAAAATGGGGAATATAAGCCCCTTGACCGGTACTGATGGAGAGATTCGATTGAACTGCCGTAGGGTTAATGGAGATTCATATGGATCAGCTGCTACTTTGGTAGCTGAATATTAATTAAATTAATTAAGGTTATGTAAAACTAGTTAAGCTTGATGCTTCATGTGATGATGGTGATGATCATGACTACGAGTACCGAGCTCATCTTTGAGCTTCTATGGCTACTAGTCCACTTTTCTCGGTAAACTTGAAAAAAGACAGATCGAATTCACTATAATCAACCACATATATTTGAAGAAGATATATATTATCAGCTTATATCATGGAAACTCGGGTTTTCTTTGTTTCACTCTTAGTCCCGAAATCATTTGCCTTAATTCATGGATGTTTGTACAAATCCTGCAGTCAAGGTTAACTTAAGGAGAAAGTTGTGGTGTGTACATCTTCTCCTTGTTGCTACTTAAACGTCCTCCAATCAGTGTGACATATAATTGAAATGTTATTGAATATCTACACACACACACACACACACACACACACTTTTATCATTTTTCCACATGGTATCAGACCGGGTATCCTCAGGCAGTCTCTGCATGTCCTTGTTCTTGAGTTTCTTTCAGCTCACAAAGAATGGCAGAAGAAAACTCAGTTAACCAGGAGGCATCTCCTAGTCTTGAACTAGAAATGGTGATTAAAGGAATTATACCGAACGGTTATACTCCTATCGATCCATTCTACAACAAACATAAATTTCTACTTGTTTGAATTGGAAATCTCAAGTCATAGCAAATTGTATCCAGTGGTGCGAACTTTCTCATTCACTCTGCTTGTAACGAAATGGCTAATGAACAACTCAACAACATACCTTGAATATGAACGAGCAAGATCCTTGTGTACGAAATTTGCTCCTACGAGAGGCTTCAACAACTCCGCTCTCATCATCCAATGAACTTCTAACAAGACACAGACCGATGGATGATCTAACATATTCCCTCAAAGAGAATCACGCACCAACAAAAACTAGGCGCTTTCCTCACTATAATCCCATTATGTTCTTACCATCCAACCTGCAAAAGAAGTTAATCATAAACCAACATAACGGAAATTCTATGCTCTTCCAGTAATTGTTTGACTCAAAACACATCCATCAAACAATCCAAAGACCCCCATGTTTCTACAACTAGTGGTAACATCACCTTTATGCTGCTGAATATTCCTCAATTTTTTAAGCCCCTAGTTTCATTTCTACAAATTAAATTAACACAATGGTCAGATCAGATGTGCACATTCGGTGTAGGCAAGTCTTTCTTCCTGGGCCGTGCTGAGTGATCTCACTTGCTACATTGGAGCATTTTGTTTCCTTCACACCGTAGAGATTCATATATGCATATTTCACGTGTTCTTTAAACGGGGCTGGAGAAGGACTTACAGCTACAACGTGTACGCCATTGTGACTATTTTCTAAATAAATATCGATCGCTCACATGTAGTGCGAAATTAGTTTGGAATACCATCACATTGCCTATTTGGTGGTAGTTAAGCCTTTCTCCTAAGGCTGTGCTGAGTCTACCGACTGATCTCATTCACTTGCTTCATGTGGAACAGTTTGTTTGTTTAACACCGTACATATGTATCTTCTGCTACTCTGGTATTGAGCATTATTTGAAATAATTAAGGTTGTGTAATCGTAAACCTAGTTAAGCTTTTGCTTCGTATGATGGTTGTGACGACCATGGCTACGAGAGCAACGATCTCATCTTCTAACTCATATGACAGAACTCACAATTATCATCTTACTTCCATTTGCACAAAAAGATATTATCAGCTTATATTACCGAGACTCAATTTTACAAAGAATATCACATCATTTTGTTTCCTTCTACAATTCTATAGAAAGATGCAACAGAAAACATTTTCTCCAAAACTATTTTGACATGATCCCATCTATACAAGGCATCTGTCTAATCATTTATCTAGGGTTTCTGTTGCTGTGGGTCTTGACGCTGCTGTTGTTGTTGCTTCTGGTTATGTCGAACGAGCTGAGCATATAGAAGCTCATTCCATGTATCAGGAACACCAGGGAGGCACCAGTGACTGCAATCCTGGTGTCTCAAAGGCGATTTCCGCTCCTCCTCTGTAAAATTCTGCTTTCTGTAAATCGATGGATGAGCATCCCTCCTGAAATCAGTCATTCTCGTAATGTTTAGATAGAATATTGGCGTCTTCATTCCAGTGATTACTGAGTCAAATATTCTCAATTTTGATGCATATTTTCCTCTATTTGTCTCCTTTGCAAGTGGCTCTATTAGATCATGGCATTGCCCTCCCGAATTCCATCTTCCACCTCTGCAAAGGGTAAAAGGTTTATGAAGATGCTGTATATTTGTGAACGAACTGTGAGGTTTTAAAAGTTAAGAAGTACTGGATGTGGTCTATGTACCTAAAGTGATTAGGTGAAAAGCCCCGGAAGAAAACAATAGTTTTCTCAGGATTTATGTTGGTATCCACCCATCTTGCCCATGTTGTTAAAGCTTTCCGAAATGCCTCTTTAACGTTCAATACATCGTAGATGTAGCTACCCTCTTGATAGTAACCCTTCCTGCAAGATTCTTATATTCGTTTAGTATTTCCGAGTTCCGAAAATTAATTAATGACATAGAGTGAGAGGGAGAATGAGTTTTACCCTCTGGAAGTTTTCTCATGAGTCCACCAGTGACCTGTGTTGAAGATGAGAACATCTGCAGTTTTGTACTTATCGGAGGATCTCTCAATCAAATCAAGGCGAAGCGTTTCCTTTATTGATCCATTTGCATCTGCCATCTCCCATTCTTGAACTAGAAATGGCGATCGAAAGAATTCCACTGAGCAATTGTACTCCTATTCATCCACTCCAGAAAAAAAAAAACACGTAAATATTTCTACTTGTTTGAATTCTCAAGTCATTAGCAAATTATATCTGGTCTAGTGTTGTGAACTATCTAATTCACTCTGGTCAAAATGAAATTCAGCAACGACACAAATCCAATGGAGAGAAGGAAGAATTTATCAGGCTATGAATTCCAAGTCAGAGAACATACCTTGAATTCCAAGATAGCGAACATACCTTGAATACGAAAGAGTAAGATCCCTCTGAACGAAATTCGCTCCTACCCAACGCTTCAACAACTCCACTTTTATCATCCACTGAATTTCGAAGAAGACAAAGCAAAGACTCCCACATATTCCTATTAAGAGAATCCCCAACAAAAACCAGTCGCTTTCCTCTCAATAGTCCCAACATGTTCTTACCATCCAACCTGCACAAAAAGTTCACCAGAAACCGGCATCACCAAATCTGAACCAACAAGCTTTATTCAACAAAAACAATACACGAATGCATAAGCATAAAACATAAACATACACACGCAGACACATTAGTACACACAACGAAACTCCGTTGTTTTTAAAAACAGAAATTCAGTGTGAATTTTAAACTGTCATAACAAGTAATTGTTATATTGATCCTCACAAGATTAATTTGCAAACAAGTAAATTTGCACTTATGAAAAACAACCATAACAAGCACAAATTCCTAAAACTGCTAACTTTAGAAGTCGAACTAGTCATGCAAAATTACCTTAATTTAGAAGCAAAACCAAATGCAATGCAATGTACAAACAAAACATGCTTTTAAATCAGAAGTAAAAACAGCCCTGCACCTTGGAAGATTGCAATGTTTGGGTTGCCATCTATACTTTTCGTAGCGATTATCCGGCCTCTTATTAAGAAAACAATTGAAGGATTCATCAATAAGAGGACAAGAACCCGGAGCATAAAGCGGATACGAATCATCTCTCACCCACATTCCATCAAACAGGTCACAATCATCCCTCGAAAATTCATAACCGGGCTGAGTTTGATTGCTCTGCTTCTCAGATTCAGACAATGCCTCACTAGCATCATCACTCTCTTTCGAGGTCAATGCCACTGCTTGCCCCAAAACCCCATCAGAATCTTTAGCAAAAGATTCATTTTTTCTTTGAACCCTCCAGTTTCCCGGAAAATCCCATTTTCCCAGTTACTTGAATCGTAGTGTTCTGGGACAAAGTCTGATTGGATTCTTGGGGCAAGAAAAGAATTGGGTTCGGCAGTTGGGCACTAGCCATATCAGACTGCAAACCTACACTCTCATCCAAACGCGGGAAATATTCAGCTTTCCAGGAAAATGGGGTTTCCCGGGAAAGTTCAAAAGGGGTTTTGAAGATGTTCTTGAAGCCGAAAGGGAAAGAGTAGCCAGATGGGTTGAAAACCAGGAAGAAAGTGCAAGCGATGCAGACGAACGAGAAGCCATAGGCAAAGGCGGCGGTTCTTCTGGAGGGGAAGAAGATTGGGGAAGAAAGAGAGGGCTTGGAGAAGGCCTCTGGTCTTGGGATTGTGGGGGAGTGGTGGTGCTTTGTGGGTTTTGGGGTTGTCTGGGTTGAGTAATCCGCCATTGTTTGCGAGCCTGTGACCTGTGTGGGTGGAAGAATTAATTTTCCATACAGTTTCTGCTGTGAAGAAGACCACTTTTCAGTTTGGTGGTTAGCTCTTTGTATTGAGGTAATTGTGAAAAAAAAATGGCTATCAAAAAATGTTTTTATATTTGGTAAACATTTGGTTTTTGTTTTTTTTCACAGTTTTGAGTGGAAAAAAAATCAAAAACACAAAGCTGCAAAACCCAACTTTGAAAAATCAACTTTTTTTTATATCTGTTTTACATAAAAGTTTATTAAATACTATAATACTGCTTTTTTTTTTCAAAAGCATTTTTACAAAAAAAGTTTACCAAACACTGCTTTATTTCACAACTATTTATTCTCACAATACAACAGAAGTAATTTTTTTTCAAATAACAGCAATATCAAATCAACCTTTAGTCTACTTGCACGGTTGAAAGTTGCTATTTTTGAATATAAGAATGCAGATGTAATTGAACATAAAAAACAAATGCAGATGTAATAATAATTTATGAACAAGTGGCATATTTTTTTTTTTTTTGTAAGAAAAATATCTCACGTCCCTCTCACTTTGATTTGGAGTAATTTTTTTGCGTGACCACACATTATTTGATAATTTTACCAATTCATTCGTTTATAACAGTATATCCATTTATTAACAATCTTATCACACCTTTTTTTATTTACAGGGTCTCACACCTCTTGTTAATTTTTTTCATTTAATCTTCTTCAATTCATCCGATCCGACGGCCGAAAATTAAAAGGGTGTGAGAGAAGTAAAAAAGGGTGTGTAGATATCACATCCCTATATTTACATATATAGGAGTCACACTCTTGCATTGCAGTTGGTCAAAAAAATTGAGTTTGATAGCAATATATTGAACTTATGATTGTGATATATTACGCTCATAAGTGTGATATTAACGAAGTAAACTCACATTAGTGTATCAGTAGTGTTATAAATATTAAATTTAAGTTGTCTGATTTCTATATACATGTATTATACACACTTATCCATATCATAAATATGATAGCAGTATGAGTTCAATTATTTTTTTCTTTCATTAGAATACCAAGATAAATGTTCTAACACTGAACCAATATTTTTTTGATTTGAGTAATTATCAATTAAATGTTATGTAGTTAAAGTGAAATCATGAACAGCCAAGAATGATAATAAAACAAAATTAAAGTGGTTGCCTTTTTCGTAGTAAAAGTGGCATGCAGAGTGGATTCGATGTTTCGAACCCGAGAAGCTTCCAACCCTACATGCATTTCGGGTTTGAAACTCCACATCTCTTAAATTAATGTAATAGTTTCGAGTCTTCTCTCTCCTTAATAATAGTTAAAAAAAGAGTGGAGTCAATGTTTGAAAGAGGAAATTATAATGTGGTAAAATTTTAACAGCATTTGTTCGTAGCAAGCTAAAAAAGGTGACACAAAAATTTGTTTTTATTTGTGACATTGTTATTTGGTAATGCAAAAAACTGACATAACAATCAAAGAGCACAATAACAGAAGTTTGCAGAAGTGTAATTTGTAAGGGGGAAGAGATGGTGGCCGGCTTTTGTTTGATGGACGTCGGAAAATGTTGCTTCGGTGAGCATATGAGAGCCATATACATTGATTTTCAAGCAAGACTGATAACCTAATTTCCGATAGGTGGTGTCAAGATCAATGTGATAGAAGCGAGGCCTAGTCAGAAAATCCGGCATTGTGCTCGTTGTTCCAACCACAGTATAAAACTGGGATTGAAAGTTTTAGTAGGATCTGCAATGCAAAAGGTCGTACCCAGTGCACAAGGCTCCCGCTTTACACAAGGTCTGGGAGAGGTGAATGTCGGCTAGCCTTACCCCCATTTATGGAGAGGCTGCTCCCAAGTCTCGAACCCGAGACCTACCGCTCATAGGCGAAGGCACTTGCAAGCAAGAAGAAAATAGAGGAACTCCCGAAGGGCTGGCGATCTCATATGTGTCGATATTAATAGTGACTCATTTCTTCGGATACAAGAAATTGATGTCCAATTCCTATTGCCAATAATAAGACTAATGGGATGAAGTGACTAACCGCTTCTTTTCCACAAAGTGCATGATGAGTATAATTAAGTGCTCATATGCCCCGGCTGCACAATGCTGCATATTTCTGACTGCATTTAGTTCTGCTTCACTATCAATCGAAAATTTGTTTGCAGTAACAACCACGCTTACACTCTAGTGTTTCGTGTTTGAGACATGCCTGGAAAATTTCATGTAACCGGCTTCAGCCACAGTCTCAGTCATGCAGGCATTTTAAGGCTCTTAAAGTTGCAACCACAACTGCACATTGTGGCGTTAAACCAGTACCATACCAGAATTTTATATTCATGACCTTCTCAATACCAAAACCAGCTTCTGCGACCACCATGATCACCGGCACTCGCTGTTTCGAGTCACCGATTTTTCAAGCCTCTCCTTCAAATGCACCAGAGAGGACGCAAGGGCTAAATCCTGTTTCCCTCACCACCTCTATCCCACAACTGGAAACACAATTTTTCACTAAACCACATTGCGCCACCTCTTTTTCTAACTACAAGTCTACAACTATTGCTCTTATCCTTCGTTTGATCATACTTGTTCGATATTCTCCGTACGGTGAGCTTTCCAACAAAACATGTATACTTTATAATTTTTTTTCTCCATATTTAAGAAGTTGTCCTCTGATTTTGCTGTTTCTTCTGTCTATGTTGTTTCTGGTTATGTTTGAGGAGTTGAGCATATATTAGCACGTTCCATGTATCAGGAACGCCAGGGAGGCACCAGTGACTGCAATCGTGGATCATAGGCGGTTTTCGCTCCTCCTCAGTTAAATTCGGCTTTCTGTAAATCGATGGATGAGCATCCTTCCGAAAATCAGTCATTGTTGTAATGTTCAGATAGTTGACTGGCGTCTTCATCCCCTTGAGTACCGAGTCAAAGATTTTCATGTTTGTTGGATACGCTCCTCCATATTCCGTGGATTCCAAGCTGGTAGTTGGCTTTGTTTCGCCATGGCAATGCCCTCCAGAATTCCATGCTCCGCCTCTGTGAGTAAAAAGATTAGCAAGATGCAATACATTTGTTAACCAAGTTGAAGTATTTCATGTCTTCAAAATGTACCTAAAGTGAGAAGGTGAATAGCCCCGGAAGAAAACAGCAGTTTTCTTAGGATTTACATTGGTGTCTATCCATCGAGCCCATGTCGTTAAAGCCTTGCGAAATGCATCGTCAACATTCAGTTCACCATAAATATGGCTACCCTCTTGATAGTAACCCTTCCTGCAAGATTTATAAATATTTTAACTTCGCTGCCTAGTGACTACTTTCCAAAAAATCCATGACATAGAGTGAATTGGAGCAGGAGAATTACCCGCTGGAAGTTTTTCTCATGAGTCTACCAGTGACCTGTGTTGAAGATGAGAACATCTGCATTTTTGTAGTTGTCAGAGGATCTCTCAATCAAATCAATGCGAAGCGTTTCCTTCTTTGATCCACTTGGTTCCAGCATCTCCCATTCTTGAACTAGAAACCGTGATTGAAAGAACTCCACGGAACAGTTGTACTCCTATTGATCCATTGAACAACAAATACATTAATATTACTTAATAAGATGAACAAGGCCGAAAGGTAAGAAGGAAGAATTTATGAGTCTATGAAATTGAAACTAACATACCTCGAAAACAAAGGAGTAAGAGCCCTCTGTGCGAAATTCTTGCCTACCAGAAACTTCATAGACTTTGTTCTTATCATCCACTGAGTTTCTAAGAACACATAGCAAAGACTCCCACATGTTCCTGTTGAGAGAATCGCCTACAAAAACCAGACGCTTCCCCGTCAACAATCTCAACATCTTCTTACCATTCAACCTGCACAACACCGAAACCAAGAAGCTTTATTAACAGAACCAATGTAGCACAGTACTGGAGCCGTAGAATCAACCGACCGAGGAGCACCTCCTTCAGTTTGGATAAACAGCACTGCTTCGAGACCTACTGGTTATTTATCCAAGTCCCGGTCGATAGTGACTTTCGAGTTCTTGCTGGTAGAGGTCATCTCATCAACCTTCTCAACGAAGTGAGGTGTTACAGGTTACTAGGCTCGGCACATTGAACGCCGAGTTGTTTTATGATTGGATATTCGCAAGTGAGATTCAGAGTCCGACATTCCGACGGTTGAACCACATTTACTATCAAGACATACGTCACTTTCGAGTACTTGTGTCCATATAGTCTGGTGCTAGTTCGGTGTGGTTATACTATTACGAATATAATCACCATGACCGAACCCGACGCTGACGATTTGTAAATTCACAGAACTAGCAGCCGTGTCTTCAAGCTCTGGAACCCAAAAGGTTAGATGTGTTTCTACCTCAGCCGCAATAGCAGGATCAAGAAGTCAGCAATGCCCAACACAACAACACATTTTACTCCCCGATCGAGCTTGGCCGTCGAGTTGGCACGCCCTGCACATAACCGAATGACGTAGTTAGCTTATTAATTACTCGGTCTGTGGGCCACGTAGACCTGATAGTTTTTAGGGTCAACAGAATCGTTACCCAAGCTATTCAAATTGTAAGTTGACAAATGGAATCAGGCATATGCTTGTGTTTGATGATTTAGATCAACCTCTGTTCTCTCAATCTCTTTCTCCTAATCCCAGTTGCGGACAGGGAAAATATGAAACATACTTTCTAGCTTTAGCTATGATGAGAAAATGAGACAAAAAACACTCTCTTTTAGTCAAGGAGTCGGTGGAGATAATGGAAGGGTATGGAAGAGCTTCGATCCGACAAATACCCAATTGCATCTCTCTCTCGCCCTTCCTCTTTTTGTTTCGTTTCGTACTTTTGCACTATTAAGCCCCTTTTACAGCAGTAGAGTCGGCAAAATTCTATAAATGGGAATGGACTAAAAGCCTTTTATTGATATGTGGATCGTGTGTTGTTTTTTGTCTTTGAAACACCAAGAGATCAAAAATCGAAACAAAGTGGATTATAAATCTTAAACTTTTGAGCTGAACCTTTATATTAAATTGAACGAAAAATTTATACAATTATAACTAGAAAAACTAAATTATAGTAAAAGCGAAACATACATGAAAACGAAGAAGGTACTTGCAACTTGCAAGCCTCTTAAGCTTGTTCGGACCCTTGCAGCCTTCTTGCTCGAGCCAGTGCTTTTTTTCTTCAACCTATTGAAATAAAAAACAAACACAAACGCGCAAATAAAGATGGGACACGTGCATAATATCAAACTTCTGTTTGATGATGATTTTTTCCACATGTCATGCATTGAAGAGAAGGTTAATGCGATCACCGTCAAATTTACCAATAATTTGCACGATTGGCTAGAAAGTTGGAAGAGTGAAAATTTTGCTTATGTGACATGCACAATAGTAGTTTTCGACTTGTGGGTGGCTAAAAAGACTTTTGTGTGGTTGCTTTTAGTCTTATGCATGATAGTTGTCATTACTTTCTAGAAAATGAGACCATAGAGTTCTTTGCAGGTGATCCAACTATTACTTAAAGCACACACATGATAATTCACCAATAAAAAAAAAAGCACACACATAATATACTCAAATAATGTATGTGACCATCGAATCCTTCAAGTCGGCTGATATATTCATAGTCATGTCGATTTGTTTTAAAAAGAAATCCATTTGGTTCATACCAAACTGTGACGAGATCGGCGGTTGGGGGATAAGAAAAGTGGCGGCCGTGGTTTAGTTTTTATAGAGAGAATTCGAGAGAAAAAAAAGGGGGAAATACCCCTTACTTCAATAGATTTTTCATTGTGACCAACACACGAGGTGGTACACCACGTGTCATTATACAAATAGTGGGATATGTGTGTTAAAAAGCTACTAACTTAAAAAGTAAAATTTCTCATCAGTTACATAAAAACACATGATGTACCACTCATGTTCATATCACAATTAAAAATTTCTCCCTTCCGAGATTATCAATGATGTCTGGAAGTCCCACGTTGGCACACGTAGCCAACAGGTATCAAAGGGAAAATTTCTAAATACCATGTTATGTTGTAGAACAGTGTATGTCCACTCAAATAATTAAATAATTGGCCTTTCCTTTTGGTTGTTGAAGCTTGCTACACACTACTCCCATTTTCTATACAAATACAAACCCCACACAACATCAAAGTGGGAAGACTCACAGAGAGATAGGAAGGAAGAAATGATGAGAGAAAAAGAGAGGAAGAGAGAAAGGAGAGGAAGAGGATAGGAGATAATAGAGAAAGTTATCTTTGTACTCCTATTATTCTAAATTATAATGAAAGCACAACTGCTGCCCCGAGGACGTACTCCAGTCACACTAACTGTAGAGGAATCTCGTAAATTTTTTGTCTTGTTTCATTTATTCCACTGCACCCACCGTCGATTTTACAACACGTTATCAGCACGAGAAGCTCTCATGTCAATGGAAAGCACAACGCCATAAATCTGGTAAAGCGTTACCTACCTCTTACCTCTGCTAGCCAAAATATCACATAATAAAAGGTATGTCCATTTTCTGTCTCTCCACTGCGCCTGAAGCGCCCCACCAAATTCCAGTAAGAATTGAAATTTACAACGACCTGAAGTCGTCACGAGATGAGAAAACTCGTACTTGACAATTGGTTTCCAGAGATCCAGAAGAATCTCATCAGACTTGGAAACCCAGATAGCGTCGTTTTTGACAGATCTCGAGAACTCCCATGAATAATCGGTTGTCTGAGATGGTGATGGCATGACTGACTCCACACATGCCTCCCTCTCTTGTACCTCCATCAACTCCGCTATCATCTATGTCCCTATAGGGAAGTTCTTGCTTTGTTGACGCCATGTTCTCTGGGCCATGCAAGAATAACGCCAGTCTCTGGTAGCCTTATTGGATTGAATAGGTTCTGTGTGACCTCCACAACAACCCAAATGGCCCTGGGTTTAAGACTAGTACAGACAGACAAATAAGAAAAATGAAGGAGGGATTATGGAATGGTGTTTCAAGCACCGTGTGAAAAAGAATTGGAAAAGTGGACTTTTTGGACAAAGGTTTCTAATGATGCATCTGCACCATTTGAATGAAAAATAATAAAAAGGGTTTTGGTGCTATATGAAAAAAGGGTGGAATCTTGTTGCATAATGCCGACACAACATGTGAAAAAGAAATAATAAAAACAAAAAAGATAAAATGTAACATCCCACATCACCCACCTAGGGGAGTAATTCTTAAATGTATATTCTCATCTCTACCTAGCACGAGGCCTTTTGGGAGCTCACTGGCTTTAGGTTTCGTAGGAACTCCGAAGTTAAGCGAGAATGAGGCCAGAGCACTCCCAGGATGGGTGACCCCTTGGGAAGTTGCTCGTGAGTTCCCAGAAACAAAATCGTGAGGGCGTGGTAAGCCCAAAGCGGACAATATCGTGCTACGGTGGTGGAGCGGGCCTGGGAAGTGGTCCACCCCAGGCCGGGATGTGACATAAAAGCTTTTGGATGGTGTTGTACCATTAGAAAAGAAAGAAAATATATATATATATATATATATATATATATATATATTTATTTATGTGAATGGTGTTGGTTTAAAACACTTTCACAAGTTCTATTTACTTTAAAGCAATTTATTTATCATGGACAGTTTTACTGCCTACTGCTTTAAGTTTTGATTTATATGAATGGTGTTAAATTAAAGCCCTTGTCACAAGCTTTATTTACTTAAATGCAATTTATTTACTATGTCTGGAATTACTGCCTATTGCTTTAATTTATTTATTGTACTTACCTTTTGTTACGATAAGTATATATAAGACCCAAAGTTCCTTGATCAGATCAGAACCTGAAGTTTCTTGATCCTCATCACATAAAATGATTGAACCCGAAGTTCCATCATGCAAAAAGATCAGGCATGAAATCCCTAGATCCTCAAGATCGGACATGAAGTTTCTTGATAAGTACCTTAAGTTTGAAGTGCCGCAGTACCTCAACTTAATTGTAATAAAGGTCATAAAAGTCTCAATCCACAAACTATTTAATAGGACCAGAAGTTCCTTATGTCCATACTTAAAATGGTTTAGTAGAAGCATTTATTAAGCGGATGAAATTGATTACCCACGCTCTGCTCATGAAAACGAAATTGCAAGTTTTCTACTTATGGACATGCCATTTTACATAATTCACTATTAAGTTTGGTTGAGACCAGTTACCAACCATCGATATTTCTTAGTACAACTCGTGTTTAGGCACTAGCCAAACATTATACATTTACGAGTTTTTGGTTATATTATCTACGTTCCTATTGCACTGTCATAATGTACTAAAATAAGGCATCGATACAAACTGGGAATTTATGTTGGATTTGATGCACCATCTATCATTCAATATTTGGAACCCTTGACTAGGGATATGTTTACCGCGTGGTTTGCAGACTGTCATTTTGATAAGACAATATTCCCGCTGTTAGGGGGAGAAAATAATATCGTTCCAGAAGAATGATGAGAAAATATCATTCCAGAAGAATGATAAGAAAAGACCGTTCCAGAAGAACGAAGAGAATTTGTCTTATTTTGATTCACGAAGCAATCAATATGAAAATGAAGTAAGAATAATTGAATGATGCAACGATGTTTCAATCAAATGCCAGATGCATTTAATAATGCAACGAAAGTGATAAAATCACATTTACTTGCTGCAAATGTGCCTACAAGAATTAATGTCCCTGTTAGACAATATAATGAGGCGATAAATGATTTATCTGTTGCACGCCTGAAGCATGGCAGACCCTTAGACTCAAAACGTTCAGTCATTCGAAAGAAGAAGAATATGGCACTATTGAACTATTGCATTCCCGAAGCATAATTGTTGCATGCCAGAAGCATGACAGTCGCCGTATGGATATACGTCCCAAAAAGGACAATCCACGGACATGGGAATATTAATGTCTCATGCATGAAGCATGATAGATGCATAGGTTCCAATGACTCAACTCCTAGAAGTGGAAATTAAAATTCAAGCTCTATAACGCTCAAGAAGAGGTTATGATCCGCATTCTCTAAATTATGACTATCCTGAAATAGATAGTGTAATGCCCTTGGAGAGGCAATGGATATCCAAAGAAATGAAAAGTTTTTATGCATGCGCATGCACATGAGAATATGGGATCACGGATTGATGATAACCAATGGTAATTTTGGTTTTTATAAGTAGCTACTAAATTCATCAATGAGCTGTGTTGATATTGAGTCTCATTCTTTTTCGTCAACAAAATTATTGGCCAAAAATGGAGAAAGGCGATTCCATTACAATTTTGTAAGAACGTGGAAAAATGGACCTATATATATTTGAATAGCCAAAATATGTTGAACCAATAAGGTTACATATAAGCATTGGTAATATAATGAAATACACTTACATGATATGACACAAGGTTACT